GGCCCTGGGGACAACTGGGCCCCAGGGGGGTCACAGGCCCTGGAGGTGGCAGGGGGTGGCCCAGGCCCCTGGGGGGGTTACAGGCCCTGGGGGTGTCCAGGGGGCTGAGGGTGTCCAGGCCCCAATGGGGGTCACACACCCAGGGGGTAGCCCAGGCCCCTGAGGGGGTTACAGGCCCTGGGGGTGTCCAGGGGGCTGAGGGTGTCCAGGCCCCAATGGGGGTCACACCCCCAGGGGGTAGCCCAGGCCCCTGAGGGGGTTACAGGCCCTGGGGGTGTCCAGGGGGCTGAGGGTGTCCAGGCCCCAATGGGGGTCACGCCCTGGGGGTGGCCAGGTCCCAGGGGTGTTCACAAGCCCTGGGGAAAGCCAGGCCCCAATGGGGGTCACAGGCCCTGGGGGTATCTGGGCGCTGGGGGTGTCCAGGCCCCCCCTGCAGTGCAGCGCAGCCCTGTGTGAGGGGTCTTGGTCCTCCCCTCTTGGTAAAGCCCCAGCGCTGCCTGTCCCACAATGGAGGGGTGGCCCTGCGGTGTCAGACCTGCCTCATGGGCAGTGACACAGGTGGGTGCCATGCTGAACAGCCCACAGCGAACCCCTGTCCCCAGGGGCTGGGATGACCAGGGTGGAGGTGCTGGGGGCTCTCCCCTGTGCCAAAGTGTGTTTGTGCATGCCTGGTTCGGGGTAGCTCTGGCAGCAGGGCTGTTCGGCATCCCGTGTGCCGTGACTCAGGCACGCGTCACCGGGCTGCGTGGCTCAGGGTTGCCCGTGGCTGGCGTGGGTCTGCAGAAATCACCCGGTGACTCACACACTCCCTCCCCATGGAAAACGGCTGTCACGGGGCTGAGATCACCTTGGAAGCCGTCCGTCGCCATTCGGCAGCAATGGTGGAGGTGGAAGGACAGACTGACAAAGCAGTGCGTCCTCCCACTGGGCTGCGGGCTGAAATTCAAGGTGTTTCTGAGGGTGACGGGGCAGAGGGAGGCTTTGTGCAGCTTTACCCGACACCTCGGCTGGGTTGGGCACAGCAAACAGGGTGGTGTTTGTGCCTGTCAGCAGCTGCGTGAGCATCCAGGGGAGTCAGAGCATCCACCTCCGGCCTCGACGCTGGGCCGGGAGCCTGCGGGTGAGCTCGACACCTGGAGAAAGGCACAACACGTGTACGGGCGGCGATGCCACCGCCTCTGCGAATTTCTGTCTGCTGGGCGCAGGGAGGGGTTTTGTGCCACGGGGCTGTTCATCAGACAGCTCCCACTGGCGGCGATCGACGCGTGTCTGCATCGCAATGCTCCCTTGCCATGGCAAGGAAGACGGATTTTTATGGAAAACCCTTTTTCACTTGAGCGTCCTTTCCACACTGGGCCTGCAGCCATTTTTTCTAACCCCCCAGAAATTTAACACCATCTCTAAAAAGTCACCACCATGTTCTGAAACGTAAAACATTTTATTAAAAAAATAATTTACTGCATCTTATATACAAACCGCAAGAACGTTCACTTATAAAATACTGACATTTAACTTGTTGCAGAAGCTGCAGGCAGGAGGAGCAAGCTTTCCAGGTGTGCTACGTGGGCACTTGGCTGTAACTCCAGGGAGGGATGTTTGCTCTTACCCCCAAACCAGCTCTGCTCCTCTCCGCGGCATTCACAGCTCGGAGGGTCACTTATTGCCACACAAACGAGGTAAGCCCCCAGCCCGAGGTGATGTGTGATAGGTTTTGGTGATCGGTTTTGGTGCTCTTAGGTAACCCGTTGTTCTGCAAACAGTTCTGTTGCGTTTCATGGCATCATGGAGAAAAGGTATAATCTAAGAAAGGGTAGGAGGGGCGAATCTGCACACCCTGTAAGATTTAATACTCTGGCTTTTTCCCTCTTGGTGCCCAAGGAAGATCCTTCATCAATACTTCTAAGACTTCAAGCACAACAGACAGCCCAAGACTTCACCCAGACCTAATTCCGCACTCAGTCAGCGATCCCACCACAGACGTTACTCAGCGTGCCTGAACACTGCAGAATCAAGCTGTTAGCTGAGGACAAACCTCATCTCTGGGAGTTAACAGCAAAATGCACGTTGATATCAACGGGACCAAGGACTCATGGAGTAAAAACCGCGACTGGGCTCTAACCCGGCCTGCTCTGTGGTCTGTTCACAGGTGGCTGAGCAGCTCCGGCTACACCACAGGGAAAGAAACCCAGCACCCACACACGCACTACCTGAAACGGAGACTGGCACAGGCAGAGCCAGAGCTGCTGTAAACATCTGCTGGAC